CCCCTCTTCCCACCCCTCTCAAAAGATGGAAGTCTACGTGCCCCGGCAAGATCGCCTGCTACTTCAAAATACTACCAGTAGGCGAAAATTCCTTGCCCCTGGGCCCATTGCTCTGGCCCTGCCCACCTGGCGATGGCCGGCAAATTTTGTGAATTATAGAAGCAAAAGTGCTTACCTATCATAGCTGCATGGAAGAACGATTCTCGACGTTCCTTTAGTCGAGAAAAGCATCGTTCGTATTGTATGCACCGTACAACCAGATAAATACAGTAGAAAACGAATACGGTAATGAATAGCATAGCGAAAACGAGAAATACCAATCTCAGTGCGACATTCTGATCCTTTTCGACTTCCTTTCCCTACAAACAGATAGAGTTAAGCAGAAGACGGGGTTGATTGACTCGATACTTCAGATTTTGTTTAAGCATTACTACTTGGTACAATTTGCAGTTCTCGCTACCAATTCAATGAAACTGTAAAGGGTCCTCTTTGTACCGTTAAATACCATCAACCCACATTGTTCTGGGAGAGTGGGCGTGGCACTGGGGAACATAGACACTACCTAAACAGCCACTGAAAGTCGTCCAGGAGCCGATAGGTCTTCCTAAAGAGCCAGGGTGTACAGAACACATTCCAAAAGGCCCTATCCTGCCCTCGGGCTCGACCTGTGCTCTTTGCCATGATGGAAACGGAAGCGGTGGCTGTTTGATCAGCTGTAGAACTCACCTCTTCTTCTAGCTGTAGCCTATCCCACCTTGTTTGTACCTCCTGCGGAGCCACAACTGTAGACACGCCGAAAACCTTGAAATTGCAAATGATCAATTTTTTGCTGACGAGATCTACCTACAATCGATTTTTTGCCGGTTACGCCATGCATCACGCTACTGCCGAGAATTTCAGTGGTGTTGGGAGCCCATTCAACCTACCTACCTCAGAATTGATGGATTTTCAACTTAGGCTTAAATAAAAAAAAAACCGCTCAGGGCTAAAGCTCCCCACATGTGTGCTGCATAATCGATAATAGTGATGGAATGGAAGCAATGTTGTTTTTTGTTCGTGAAATTCGATCTTACGTATCTCACAGGTGCGACACTGCGACACTTGGGCATCACGTCATTACTGCCCACGTGAGAATGCATCTGTCCACATTCTTTTCGAAGGTATCCTCCCATCTACTATTTCCTTTGTCTCTGTTTGACCAGAAATCAACAACTTCTGCTCCCGTGGACCAAAAAAGTTTAAATGTGGTAGGAGTACAGGAGGCAAGATGGGAACACTTATGGCAGGTGCCTGGGAGGGATCCGCTCACAGGGGCGAGGTTTACAAGAAATAAATATTTAGGCAGAAAATTAGAACTCCTATTCCTGAGGACCTAGAAAGTTCAAATTTGGTATGGGTGCAGGTAACAGGACGGGAGTACTTCCGACAAACATATAACTGACCAAAAAAGTAACTGACCTGTACGAATATTATGAGAAGTAATCGTGCTGCTATCGTTGGATACATTAAAGTCACATCATGTCTATGAATACCGAGAATCAATAAACCTGATGTAATAACCAGTAGAATCATCAGCAGTATGAGACATATCTCGAAGTAGGACGGTTTCTGGAATGAAGCCAAATTGACAGTTGTTAACCAAAAATATCGAGTTGAAACAAGTTATAACAGAACAGGTTACAGGTTCAGGGTTTATTATTGGTAACGGTTGACCGGTTCATCACGTTATGACTTGTGAAGCTGACAAGCGATGGCTCAAAAAGCCATTTAGAAGGATGGGCCAGGTAAGGTCTCGGTCTTGTAAGCGCACTGGGCTCGGTTAGCACAAGTACGTGTTTGAGTTTCCGGTGAAAATATAGTTGGGGGGGGGCCACCTATCACAATGTCGGTATATCATGAAATG